TAGTGAACTTAGCTTACAAGTTTCTGCTTTAAACAAGCAACGCCACAGTCGTCCCTATTGTCGTAACCGATCCAAATCACGAGATAGGAGTTACAGTGGTAACAGATCTAGTGATATTGTTACTATCATAAAAAATTCGGTGATAAGTCATTTAAGTGTAAACAACCCTGCAACTACTCACAGACAAATCCCGGAAAATGAGCTCCCGGTCCCATTACGACGGAGGGACAAGGGGTGCAGCTGATCGTCTTCGCATCAAAAAAACGGCTACCCAATTTTTAATAAATACTCAAAATTAGAACTCTTTGCTGCAAATGGTACGAAAATTAAAACATATGGCCAAAAATTACTCAAGCTTGATCTTGGACTCAGACGATCATTCACATGGCCTTTTGTAATTGCGGACGTAAACAAACCGATAATAGGCATGGATTTTCTTGGAAATTTTAACCTTTTGGTAGATTCTAAAAATCGCAAGTTGATTGATGGTACTACATTCTTAACAACCAATGGAACTCCTTGTTTTCAAAATAACAATAATAATATTCCGATTTTAAATGCCGTAAATGATCCATATAAACGTATAATTAACGATTTTCCGGATTTGTTAACTGAATGTAGTTAATAATAAAGTTAAAAATCATAACATCGAACATTATATCGAAACCAGAGGTCCACCAGTTTTCACTAAAGCCAGGAGACTATCAGCTGAGAAACTCAAAGCGGCTAAAAAGGAGTTTGAATTTATGCTCCAAATGGGTTTATGCAGGCCATCCAAAAGTAACTGGTCGAGCCCACTACATCTCGCTATGAAGAAATCAGGTGATTGGAGACCTTGTGGAGACTATCGAGCGTTAAACAACGTCACGATTCCTGATAGATACCCTCTCCCATTTTTAACAGATTGCAGTTCCATTTTAGCTGGAAAAAGAGTTTTCTCATCCATAGACCTCATTAGAGCGTACCAACAAATTCCAGTTCGCGAAGAAGATATACCGAAAACGGCCATTCTCACTCCCTTTGGCTTATTCGAGTTCCCATTCATGACGTTCGGCCTACGAAATGCGGCCCAAACGTTCCAACGTTTCATGAAACAGTGTGTGTTGAATGGACTAGAATTCGTGTTTTGCTATTTGGATGACATTCTAATAGCCTCTCCAGATGAAGAAGAAACTCATCGAAAACATATACGAGCAGTCCTCGAGAGACTAAACGAATATGGCCTGTGTATTAATGCGGCAAAGTGTAAATTTGGTCAAACAAAACTTGCATTCCTGGGATACGAAGTGTCAGCTGAAGGACTTAAACCTCTCTCAACGAAAGTTGATGCCATCAAAAATTTCCCAAAACCAAAGTCATTTACTAGTTTAAGACGATTTTTAGGTATGGTGAATTTTTATCACAGATTCATACCAAATTGTGCGAAATTGCAACAACCTTTAACAACATTGCTCAGTGGTATTAAAAAGAACTGCAGAAAAGAAATAACCTGGACGGCAGAAAAGAAACAAGAAACGCCTTCCAGATCTTAAAAGATGCACTTATTCATGCCACAAACTTAACTCACCCATCCAAAAAGGCTGAAATATCGCTAACAACTGATGCTTCCGATACTGCCATTGGAGCCGTTTTACATCAGATTGTGAATAATGCAAAACAACCCTTAAGTTTCTTTTCCCAAAATTTGACATCAGCACAACAAAAATATAGTGCCTACGACAGAGAACTCTTAGCCATCTATACAGCAGTAAAACATTTCAAATACATCTTAGAAGGGCGAACTTTTGCAATATACACGGATCACAAACCACTAACATTTGCCTTCCAACAAAATTTGGAAAAAGCTTCGCCACGACAAGCTAGACAACTGTCATATATTGGCCAGTTCTCAACCGATATCCGATTCATACAAGGGCATGAAAATACCGTCGCTGACGCTCTCTCTCGCATAGACACCATTTCTGTACCATCTGCAATAGACTTACAAACTATAGTAGACTGTCAAGAAGATGACGACTTGGAGACACTAAAAACAACCCAAACTTAAAAATCCTACAGATCCCTATACCGGACAGCGACAAGAAAATTTACTGTGATACTTCTACAAATTATAATCGACCATACATCCCTGCAAAGTTTCGGCAGAAAATATTTTCTTCAATCCATAATTTATCTCATCCTGGAATAAGATCCACGATAAAATTGATAACACGACGTTTCATATGGCCCAATATGAATAAAGACTGCCAACTATGGACTAGAGCATGTTTATCTTGCCAAAGATCTAAAGTTCACAGACATACACATTCATCTTTGGGAGAATTCAAAGTACCTCCACACAGATTCCAGCATTTAAACATAGATCTGGTGGGTCCGCTACCTCCTTGCAAAGGATTCAAATATCCTTATAACCATCATCGATCGTTATACACGATGGATCGAAGCGGTACCGTTAGAAGATCAATCAGCAGAATCTATTGCTAAAGCTTTGATTTATACTTGGTTTTCACGCTTTGGAATTCCGAATCGCATAACATCTGACCAAGGTCGGCAATTTGATAGCCAACTTTTTCAAGCTTTAGGAAAATATCTTGGTTTTCATACAAACACTACAACTGCGTACCATCCACAGGCAAATGGCCTGATCGAAAGACAACACCGAACTTTAAAAGCAAGTCTCAAATGTCATCTACTCGAATCAAAATCATGGCTGGAAGCATTGCCTTTCGTTCTTTTAGGCATAAGATCTGCCATCAAGGAAGACTTAGGTTGCTCATCCGCAGAACTTGTATACGGAACCCCTTTAGCATTACCTGGTGAATTCTTTTCAACAGTACCTCATATGAAACAGTCTGAATTTTCTCAAAACCTTCAGAAAATAATAAGAGCTATGAAGCCAAGTTCTACCACCACCCATGCAAATAAAACAGTCTTTGTTTCTAAACATCTTTCCAACTGTTCTCACGTATTCCTATACAACAACATTAATAATTCGTCGCTACAGCCTGTCTATCTTGGACCGTATCCTGTAAGAGCAGCAAGAAAGGATAAGTACTTCGATATTGAAATCCAAGGAAAAGTTAAAAGAGTTTCAATAGACAGACTAAAGCCATGTTTCCTAGTGCAAGATTCTGATATTCCTTTCCAAAACTCCCATTCCAAGAAAGCGGAACTTGGGGAAACACCTGCACTCAAGAACACTGAAGAAAATTCAGAAACACATCATAAAACCAAGACTACTAGAACCGACAGACATGTGAAGTTCCCCAGTCACTTTAAAGACTATCTTCCATAATCGCTGTCACTAGGAAGGGGGGTGTGTAGTGCCGCTTCAGTTCCGTTAAGTTTCTAATGAAATTTAGTTAAAGCGGAATGGCAACACCTTCTAGTCTCCGCGAAGAACGAAGTAAACAAACTTCGAGTTTTTGTCACGCGATGCTACGTGCATGTAAAATGTAAATAAATCTTATGAATAAGAATCTATAACATCGTGAGGAATAAAATATTGGTTCCATAGGAGTCAGAGAAGTGTTATTTTTCTATATTTGCACACCAGACACTTCAGGACTGGCGAAAAGAACATAAGTCGGGATCTATCATTATGCAGGGTAATGCAGTGAGCTTTTATGTCCATAATGTTTCGTCAGTCACATCCACAAAAATAGAACATAATTAATGAATTCTACAAAACATTCAAATTATGGCTTAAACATAGCAACTCTCATAGTACATGGTGTAAATGTTATTAACTACTTTCAAATCTATCGAAGAAGGTCATAGCCGATCAAGAAAAGTAAATATGTGAACACCTGAAGGTGTGTACAGGTCTTCAACTCACTAGCTTTACTATGGTTGGAAATTCTTAAACCATCTTTGCATAAAAATGAAAAGTTACAACATTTAGATAAAATTCTTGTACCAGCTTGCGTGATATAGCACGATCTCGTTGCTTAGCAACGATTCAGCTAATGCTACTTGTGATCATAACGTTAACGCCCCCTTAGGACTCATATTCCAAAAGGAAAAAAGGTCCTTGGATCCATCGCTGAGTCTTTTGGTTCGTTCACCTTCAAAATTAGGATGGAGTTGAGCGAAAGTCATATTGGCACCTACAAGGTGCCTAAGACTTGTCCATGATTAATTGCGGATCTCAAATTAGTAGATATCTCAAGTTCAAGAGAAAAAGTAAGAGGAGTATCCATGCTGTTTGGTTGTTTCTATACATATAAACTCAGAATTCATAATTAAATGGTCAGTAACGAGCAAACATTTAATAGCATATTTATGCTTGCAAACCGCAGAAACTCCAATTAGAATGTCGTTTAGGAGTTCAGTTACTTAAAAAAAAAAAAAAAAAAAAAACTATATCTTTTTTATATAAGTTAATTGACAGTCATCAATATTTTTACCTCTAATAAAATAGGAAACCAATAATAATTAAGGTAAGGCAAACCACTACCCACTACCCCTAACATAGGAAACCAATAATAGTTAAGGTAAGGCAAACCACTGCTATTAAGACTGTCTGCTTGTAATTTTGCAAAAATGAAAAATGGTTTTCTGTGGATCCACAAAGAAAATCATTTTTTGCACACATGCTGAACTTTTAAAATTAGTTTTTGGAACTTATTTTGAATACCGCATTTTCTTTGAAGCGGCTAAACATCGGTAGAACTCCATATATGAAACTCTTGCGCAGAACTACAAAAACTTAAGATATGCAAGTATTATAAATTACCAAAGCCCGTTTTCTCAATTTTGGTCGCAGAATGTTTTTTTTTTTTTTTTTTTTTTCCGTTTCATTATATCGAAGTTAATGCGAAGCAACGGCATGATTTTCTTAGGCAAAGAAAGCAAATCGTAAGAAGGGAATTTTCATAACGTAATGTAATAATGTTCATGAGAAAAACACAGAATATTTTCTCTGCTAACAGACAGATTATTCTAACAATTTGAAGAATGATTACAATAAAGTTAAAATTTAAATTTTATATACTTACCACAATATTCATATTTGCACCGTACTGATGAATGTATTTGACAGCAGTTTGATTGTTTTTGAATACAGCATAATGCAAAGCACTATAACCTGAAACAAGAATTTTTTTAATTTTAGAAAAAAAATTTGATCCACAAAAATCATTAACATGTTTATAATAAAAAAATTATATTTATCATAAATTGGAAAAGTATTAAGAGACCTGAATATGGCCGAAGTGAAGATTTCTGTTTCAAACATGATTACAGGCCAGGATCGGTGTCAGAGCCGGTGCGGCGATCAGAATTTAGGGGCAGCAAAATCTTCAGGATTTAGAAAAGCACTGTACATCGAAATTTAAGGATATTTTTAAAATTTAGCAGAGGCATTGGACAGAAGAATTTAGAGGACAGCAAAATTTTAGAATTTCGGAAGGCATCGCACTGCAGAATTCAGAAACTGCAGAGACTGTACCGGGCGGCAAAATGCCTAACGCCGGTAGTTTCAACGGCTATACTTTTTTCTTCGCAAAAGCTCACAGCCTGCAAAAGTCTCGCGTTCAAGATTATAAATAAGTTTAAAGGATTAAATTCTGCATTTTTACCGATCGACTCGGTTTTAAATCTTGGAGAAGACACTGATGTTTGTAGGCGTATGTATCTGTTGTATTTTTTAGTCTTCCATATAAAGAATAGTTCCATTGCCATTTCCCAAGCCACTATACTATTTAAAAAATTAAATTTTAATTCTAGAATAATTAATTAATTATCTAAGTAATTAAATTTAGTATCTCAATGTATACAGACTAAATCAACAGTTTTTCATTGAAAAATTTCTGTAGTAAGGCTTCCTCAAATTTGAACATACCTTCATGATCCATAGAGTTGATAACTGTTTTCGATTGAGGTTGAGTCAAGAGCAACTGAAGAACTTCTGCATTGGCGTTCGCTTTAACTGCCAAGTGAAAAACCGAATTGCCATTTCTGTCCCTCAAGGTTACTGCAGCCCCACACCTTAGTAGCAGTCGAACCATTTCGGCATTGCCCAAAATCACAGCCAGATGTAAAGGAGTCTGTAATACAAAATTAGTGAAATATTATCGCGTTCTTCTGCATTTACATAATACTGGAAAACAATTCTTTTCCCTAATGCTTTCGATTCTTAAGTGTATACCTAACAGATAGTTAATATCGAATTACGATTAACATCCGACCTCACCGAGCACAAGTTTTCCGTTGCTAGTTTTATGTACAGAAAGCACTTTTAAGTTAGTTCTTTAACCCTCCGAGTGGACTGCCGTTTATAACTAATTAATGTTTTCCTCCATTATTTCTTCTCTCTTTAAAACTAGTTGTTAATATCTGACTTACTTTAAAATGAAGTCATTCTTAATAATTTTAAACTAATGACAACCCCAACAATGGCCGAGTAGTTAAAACTGCTAAATACTGGTAGTTTGAAGTCGGTTCCAACCAAAGCCAACAGGCTGGTTGCACAGTTGTGGTTTTCCTCATGTGTAATGTGAATAAGCACCACTTTTTCATACTAAGTCCTCTGTCTCTTCCTTTAGGCATATACCCCTCATATGCTTTGCCATATTCAGATAACCTAACCTTAAAAGAATGAGATGAGCCAACGCTAATAACTATTTCTGCATACTCCTCAGTATCTTCAATGCATCGCAAGCTTTTGCTTCTGTAGCCACCACTGTCTGGACGTCTAAGCATTACGATCTAAGAGTTACTGTTATTTGTAGCAACGAAATCTCTGCAAGCTATTTAAAGATATTGTACGTATGAATTTTTCGACATAGTAAAGTATTAAAAATGTTAAATCAGGTTAAGAATTTATGATGATATAATCATTCTCTCATAGTATGAGAAAAAAACTAATGCACTAAATCTTTTATTAAATCCTGAAAGAAATCTAACTTTCTTCGAATTTAAGAAAACCGTCAGAGTACTGTTGGATGCTCATATCCGTTCTCACTACTTTCTTGCCACATGCGATATTTTGCAGATAGATGGTTTTACTTCTTTTCAATGGCATCTTAATTTAAAAACGAGTAATTGTTGATTTAATAGAGTAATAATGATGAAATAAGAAATGCAGAAACAAGGTAAAAAATTATATACGTTGTGAGGTGTAGAAGGTCTTTTATTTCTAGAGGAATAATTTAGATATGTAGTTAATAATTTTCCCCTTTGAAGACGTAGTTATTCAACAATTTTTAACCAAGTCACCACCTATCTCGATGGATTTCTTAAGGAGACCAAAGCGTGTTTCGATTATTTCTTCAAGAAACTCGATGCTATAGTCTCAGTTTAAGAGATTAGATGCATCATCCTGGATGCATTTCTTCAGAGACTCGATGTATTTCTTCCAGTTGTTCTTACAACATTTCAAACAATAAATTCATACTTTCGAAAACCGTCTCTCTTTTACATTGTGATATCAGTCCTCATATTTTCAACAAACAGAAGCTAGCATTTATAGGAAAACCAGAAAATTACTTGATGTCACATTTAAAGTTTCTTACGAGAATTCGAACGACACCGATGGTAACATCAATTTGCTCTACGTAACTAAAGGATCTCTCCAGATGAATCCGTTGTTTGTACAGAATGAGAATAATTAATCCATTTTCTGAAGATATGATTGCACATTTGAGCGGTGTATTCTTCCATGAAATAAAATGGACTTTTGACCCTCGCAATATAATAACAGCAAACCTCTCGGGAGGACATTCTGCTAGTTCTTTATCAAGTGTCCCCATACAATGAACATACTATACATTTACAAACATCCATGATATTCGAGATTCGATCCCGGGCAAAGGGTACAGCAGCCACTATTGCTAATCATTCACAGCGGCAAGGATTTCATTAAATGGATTAACTGGATTACGGCAAAGCTTACTAGCGCTGCCGGCGGAAAGGGACACATAAAGAAAGTATTTTTTAATAAGTAAAATTAAAGTCGATTCCTAAGTAAAAGACTTCTAAATGGAGCCAGTTTCCTTACACATACTGATAACATAGGTTTTAACAACGTCATATTCCGGCAGCCGGAAACTTTGGTTTTCTTAACATCCGGATACTGAAGCGTTTAGATATGGGTTTAGGATTTCTATCTTCCGCTGTTTAGACAATGACCGACTTCTTCCCCATTTGGGTTAAGATTTCGCCTTCAAAGAATTTTACACTAGTCGTCATTTTCCTGATTCCTTACAGGGCACTTGTAATCACTAAAGTGTGGAATTTTGGTGAATAAAAATACAAATATTAGAAATGTAAAACAGAAATTAACCATTAATTTTCCTTCAATTTTACTTGCAGGAAAAACTAAAAATTGCGCTTCTAGATGCATAATAAACTTTTCATAGATAAACTTAATGACTGTTAAACTAAATTCTACAGTTTTCCTCTAGTAGATATCTCTCTACACTAGACCAGTGATTCTCAACCACTGTGCCGCAAAATTCTTAAAGTGTGCCGCCAAATTTTAGGACTGTATATAGTAAAAATTATAATGGGTTTAATCCGGTGCACATGAGAATTGGCGAAACTCTGTTTTTAAGACATTAATAAGCGCGCCAATTGTGGTATCCAAGCCGATTTGGGGCCGAATACTTCTGCATTTAAATTAAATTTGAACGAAGAGGAAGAACTGATTGCGCTTTCTAATAATCGAGATTTAATTTAAAAATATTCGGAAGAATCAATTAATTCCTTTTGGATTAACATTATATGCGATTATTCCATAATGGCCAAAAAAACATTAAAAATATTATTACAGCCTTCTACATCTTATTTGTGTGAATTACGAGAAAAAGATCAAGACTGTTAAATGTAGAAGACGATATGAAAGTAGAATTGTCATTTTTACGAGCAAATATAAATGAAATTATCAAAAAAAAATCAAGCTCAATTTTCATATTAAAAGTATTCTGATTATTAACTTGTAATTAATCCCTAAATAAACGTACTGCTGTTTTTGTAGTACATATTATTTTATTTTACATTCAAAATTATTATCAAAAACTATTTTACACAGTGTAAACAACAGGTATGTAAGCAACTTTTAAACTTATCTTTTTCTTTGTGTGCCGCCCAATTTTGAAATCTTTAAAAGTGTGCCGCGACAAAAAAAAAAAAAAAAAAAAAAAAGTTGAGAATCACTGCACTAGACAAATAAAAAATTTTGCAGGGATAGTACTTGAGAAAAGGAAAATTTCTTCAGAAATGGCGAAGCCAAAAATGATATCAATCATTTTTACTTAGCTGTATTTAATCTCATCACACTTAATGTATGTCTCTGTTGAAAGAGATTGATAAATAACAAATTTAGTAAGATTCATGATTTAAATTTTTGCGTAAACACTAGGTGAAAAGCTTGGCAATGTCTCCTGAACAAGGGATATGATATTCCCGATTCTCCTCATGGTATAGTTTGTGGCATCATTCCTTCCTTTGACTAAGCATGATTTACTTTTTTACACATAGCCTCGGAAATACTATAGCAAGTTCTCTTTGCGACTCTCGACAACTTATGGACAAAGAATATTTAAGCACGTGCTCTGCATTTAACAGTTTTAATTCTGTCGCTTAGAAGTACTTGGACGCAAGATGACTAATGGTTTAAGTGCCAAAAGCCAAGCATTTGTAAATAAATATGTCCACATTGAAGGAACTTTCCTATTCATCCTGAACTACGCATATTCATTCTCGGTATTATATTATTTTCGGTACTCTCTTAATATCAGATGAATATCGAGATCACGTCTGTGATTTCAAACTTACAGATCTTCTCCTCACCCTTAAACTGCTGCGCATTTATTCGAAAGCATTTCGTCAGGAATGGCCTAACCTATAGTACACAAACAGCTAATTACTATGCCAATCCTGCATTTTTGGTTTTGGGCTAGTAGTTAGTCTCCGTTAAGCCTCCACTTTTGGTTTTGGGCTAGTAATCAGCCTTCGTTAACCCCTATATCATCTAGTACAACTCAGTCTTATGCGGGTGCCAAGCCTCCAATTCCCCCCCCCCTAGTAGTCAGTCTTCGTTAAACAATACAGAATTTGAAAAGAGGACCAGGAACGTTTGTTAGGAGAAAAGTACTTCTCACGACACTTTCTTTTCCAGAATCACGGAACTTTCTTTTCCATCTTACTTCAGAATTTCTTCATAATAGGAAGCCTGTAAAAAAAAGTATACCCAAATGATACCTTCTTTTGTTCCGAACTTTGACGGTAGTATCGGTTTTAAACTTAAATTTAGAATCAACGATAACGAAGTTAGAATCCCTTCATGTGCTAACCAAATTATTTAGATTAATTCTAAATTATGCCCAAGAAAAATTAAACGATAATCATTTATCCAACTGAGAAAGATAATCAACCAAAAATTCACCTTTCGGTATGTTTACATCTAAGAAAACACTATGACACTCATAAATTGCTTTTTCACCAATCGTAGTCTTTCTATAAACTTATCACCACTTTCACTTCAGAAAAAACAGACAACCCAAGGTTCCACACTCAAATTCAGTTCCTTTTTTTACCTTATCGAGTAACGTAAATTGTTTACTTATATAATAAACATAAAATTGAAATCAGAAATGTTTGGCTTACCTGTCGTAAGAAATTGGTGAGGTCAATAGATATTGAATTTCGTAGCATAAGCACACAAAGTTTTCGAACAATTTTCAGATCTTCACGAGCGACGGCAACGTGGATAGGGCTGAAATGGGACAAATGTTTTTGTTAGATTTTTTAGAACGGTGCAGAAGGACGTAGGCAAAAAATTTAAATATAAGAAGCAGCGCTTGAAAGTTTGTAGCAACTAGCATGTCACTGGACATTATTTAATAATTAATACGAATTTCCTTTTTATACGTATAGAAGCATTAAAAAATAGAATTTCATAGAATGAAAACCCATTAAAGATAAGCAATAATTTTCATTATTGCTTATTGAAAAATTTAAATTTCAAATGATAAAAGGGTAACTATTTCAGTTTTAGAAGAAGAGGTAATAGTAACTCCTAAACTTTCGAATTTGCATGCATTTTTATTACCGAAAAAAAACCTTTTTTTAGAGATAAGAACGATAACATAAGAACTACATTAATTTAAGAACAGTAGCATTCAATAAAATCTGGTAACTTCTTTAAAAGTAACATCTCTTACATGAAATTTTGCAGTTTTCTGCCTAAAAATCCATTTACTTCTTCCAGAACAAACTCGGCATCTGAGAGTGCTGTTACACATCTCCATTTTAATTTTATACTTTAGATTTCATTTTATCTCTCGTAATGTAAAAATCATTAATCAGCAAAGTTAAGAACTTGAGTTTACCTCTCTGGGGAAGCGCTTTTATTCCATTAAGTATTATATCGGAGTTTCTCAGGATAGTTGAAGAACATAACGATTTTCAAACATGATCAGTTTTCTAAATTATTCATTTCTGTATTGTGCTCAGCCGGGTTTATTCAGAATTATTCAAACCTATCTGCAAATGGCGAAAGAAGATTTGCAGCTTTCATAAGTGGTAACATCGAACTGCATTGATACCTTGACCTCCTAGAGAAAAAAAATGCAGTGACACCTTAACTCCCAAGAGAAAAAAAAAAAAAAAGAAAAAGAAAAAAAAAAAAAAAGAAAAGAAAAGAAAACCTCTCGCCTACTTTGCCTATACCTTACAAAGATGAGGCACCTAACAGGACTAAAGAAAAGTCATATATAGAACGCAATTAAGTGTTCAATGGTCTATTTCACTTCTCTACGAAATTTGTAACTGTTTTAAAAAAATGCTGCCAAGGATGGTTATATTTTCTAAATCAAAATAAATTCTGAGGACTGATGTCCTCAAAATGGCCAATATTCTGAAACGTAGGCAAAGAACAGGTATCATCAACAACAAAAACAAGATCATTTTCCAGCCGACTTTTCATCAGTATGGGGTTCCTGATAATAGTAAAAGGACTATTTGGCTGGTTAAAAGCAAACACAGCAATTATTTAATCATCCAGTGACGAGATCCCATATTACAGTGGTCTCAAACTCGCGGCCCGCTGGCTTCACGCCAGTCCTCAAGGCAATTATATGCAACATATTTCAAATATGCATTTGTTGTAAATAGGGTACTTATAATCTTAGAGACGTAAAGGTATAGACTGGGCTTAAATGACAGACTGCTGTTGAAGGGAAAATTATAGAATGAATAGGCTGAGGCCATATGGGTAAAGTGGAAGAATTTCTCACATAGATAGACTCGGAGAATTTATTTTGCCAGCCGACAGCTGGCACTTCAGTATTCTGCAATTTTCGATTAAGTTTAAAAGTAGTTAAAAGTTATGTAGATAATTCAACATTATGGAATTACTTTAAATGCCACTCTAATGGCCTGCATTCAGTTTGCGTTTGAGACCACTGCTACCAAGTCATTAAATCTATGGTGAAAATAATATTTAAAATTGAGCTCCATCAAAAAAGGTTTTCAAACAAGTTGTCAGAAATACAGTGGGAAAAAATTACATATCTTATAAAAAGTGAATGAGGAGAGTAGTTGTGGAATTCTGTTTTGCTCAGAATGCCTCTTCCTTAAAAAGAACACCTTCACAACAGTGGACTGTCATAAGCGTATCGGCTCCTTTATGATGGGAAATTTTTATGCTGCAGTCTTCTCCGAGCACCTACCACTTCACATCAGCATTGCTTCCAACTTTTTTTGCAACAACTACGATATTTTAAAGTAAACTGATTGGGCCTATCTTCCCCGTTGCACTACTTTCAATCCTACGATTCGGGAATGATATTCAAAAGAGAAGAACTAAATGCGCTTAACTTTTTTCACAGACCTTTATTATGAACCGAAAAAATTTAGACTGCTGTCGACTTTTTTTTAAATTTAATTATACTTACTCTTTATTATTATTATAATCTTTTCTATTTGGTTCTTTTGTACCTTTATGTTTGCATAATTAGTACGTTTTGTATTGTTTCAGACTCTGTACTTTTCAAATGACTTTGTATACACCGCTCTAAGAAACAGATAACAATATAGTAGACGCCGCTTAATTCTATTGATTATGAGGGCGATCAGACGCAGAACGTTCTTCAATAGTAAAAATAAAAAAATAAAAATTTTAAAAATAATAAATTCTGCATAGTTTTCTGCCATTTACACTCCGTGATATACACGGCCCAAAATTCTGTTTATTTAACAAATTAAATAATAAATTTTCAGATTTATTTTTCTTACAACAACGAGAACCGAAAGGAAATATTACATAATACTACAGAAAAGGAACATAATTATTAAACCCCATTTCCACAGTTTCCTCTTGGTTCGATCATAAATTCCCTTCCCCCCCCCTTTATTAAATAGGGATTATTTCTTAGTTATTTACATTGCTGTACAGTTTTGTTTTAGGCGCCTCATAATAATTCATGATTGTGGGATTTCTTTTCTTTTAAACGTAAAAAAAAGTTTAAATCACAATCTAGCTTCTTCGGCTCATATTGGGAATATACTCTTTAGATAATGATATACATTGCTGATAAGAGCATAAGAGGTTTTAGGATGATAGCAAAGAAGGGGAAATTCCCACTTTCGAATTGAAAACAAAGAAAAAGGAACCGATTAGAAGGACAAGCACTCTTCGTCATTGAAGTGTCTCTGTATATAAGAATCACATCAAAATAACTTAACAAGTGATGTACTTTTAAGTGCTCATTTATTTATTCTTATATGCAGTATACTTGTAATAAATGGCTTCACCTGAGAACCATTCTGATAGCATTCCTAATTCTTTACATGAAAATGAGGAAATTTGCCTTGAAAGTTACATGACAATCAGTTACTTTTTTCTCTCTCTCTGAATTATTTAAATTTTCTTTTTTAGGGTTTTATATCAAAATGCAGTTGTTTTAAAGGAATTTTAGTTACAGTTTATAATTACCTATTACAAACACTAAATTTGCATAATATTGGTCGCAACTGTCACGCATCTCTTGGTACTTCAACTTGGTTCTCAATACGTTCTCTTTTTTTTTTTTTTTTTTGATCATTTATAAGTTATATTTTTAAGGCATTAAATTTTTAATTGCTGATAAAAGTATGAAACTCCTTTCATGAAATAATAGATGTGGAAATAGAAACAAAGTTTCATGAAGAAAGAATTAGGTTATAAACTTTTAGAGGGTGGAGAGAACAAAACTTAAAAAAGGACTACCTTTTCCTTTTCAAATACTTTAACTATTTGAAATGCAGATATTGGTTTCAGTAACAAATAATACACAAGAGTAAACTATAAACTTTTTAAGAATTCAGGTCATGAGTTAGAACTATCTCATTTTTGTAGGTATCAAGTGATCTATGGAATTACCACGAAGGTAATAATCACAGAGCACTTACGCGCTACAAGATAACAGATCTCTCAGCTTTGAAATAAAAATCAAGCAAGTTCTTTGATAGTCTTCAAGAAATTTCTGAAACTTTGATTTCAACATTATGCGACATTTTCCTAAAGTTTCACTAACAGTATAACCACACTATTCGCCCAGATCAGAAAGTTATGCAAAGTTAAAAAGCATGAAGCAAGGCTTAAAAGCAGGAATTTAAACTTAATTGTAGCCTACTGGATTGTTCGCTGCATCGTTCAGTTGTAGGTCAAAAGTAGATAATAATTGTGCTGTTGGCAAATGGTTTAAGAGTTTAAGAATAGTAGAGACCAACTAGGTTTTTAGCTTTGAATTACCACATCTTTTTGTACATATTTGAGATTTGGTCACAGAGTAAACAGTCTCATGCAAACATGGCACTGCGCTCTCCTGTCATAAAAGATACCGCTAAAATCGCTCGCAACAATAATAGCTTAAAAGCAGGAATTCGATCAGTTTAGCGATCATGTTACGCCATTGAAATCAACAAGTTCTATACTCGGCATAGCAAAGCAGCCAATCACGTCCTGGTCAACACTGTGGCGGTCACTAGGCATGAGACTCGCTGTTGCGACTTTTCGGTCTTTGCCGCTTACTCGTGTTGCCATCTGTTAGCCCTGATGGGAAGTGAGATGCTTTCCGATGTTCTTAGCGACATTAAACGATCGTGGGGTTTGATGGTGGATTTGCTACGTGACAGTTAAATGCCATACCGCTATCGCAAAAGAGCTCGTGTGGGACAGTTTCCGATATTTAAACCGCTATTCTAGATAATTTACTGAATGCTAAGATCTTTATATCTCTTGACTTGCAAAACGGCTTTTTTCATGTTCTCATGAATCACCAAAGCAGCAAATACACTGCATTTGTTACTCATGAAGGCCAGTATGAATTCCTTAAAGTTTCCTTTGGACTGTGCAACTCTCCTAGCGTTTTTCAAAGATTTATCAATACCATATTCAGACCTCTCATTCGTGATCAGACTATTATAATTTATATGGATGATATAATTATTCCAGCTAAGGACGAAGACGACGGAATTAAAAAATTACGACGAGTCATTCAACTTGCCTCAGACTATGGTCTAAAAATAAACTTTCAGAAATGCAACTTTCTAAAGAAAACAATTGAATTCCTAGGTTATGTTATTCAAGATAGCACCATTCAACCTTCACCATCCAAAACACACGCTGTACAGTCATTTCCTGAACCCAAAACAGCTAAACTGGTTCAAAGTTTTCTTGGCTTAACTGGGTACTTTCGAAAATTCATTCAACATTATGCCAAAATTGCAAAA